CAGACATGTCACCACCCATTGAGCATGTTTGGAATGCTCTGGATCAAATCAAATGTTATTGGTCACATGCACCGAATACAACAGGTGCAGACATTACAGTGAAATGCTTACTTACAGCCCTTAACCAACAGTGCATTTATTTTTAACAAAAAAAGTAAAAAAATAAACCAACAACAAAAAAAAGTGTTGAGAAAAAATAGAGCAGAAGTAAAATAAAATAACAGTAGGGAGGCTATATATACAGGGGGGTACCGTTGCAGAGTCAATGTGCGGGGGCACCGGCTAGTTGAGGTAGTTGAGGTAATATGTACATGTGGGTAGAGTTAAAGTGACTATGCATAAATAATTAACAGAGTAGCAGCAGCGTAAAAAGGATGGGGTGGGGGGGCAGTGCAAATAGTCCGGGCAGCCATGATTAGCTGTTCAGGAGTCTTATGGCTTGGGGGTAGAAGCTGTTGAGAAGTCTTTTGGACCTAGACTTGGCACTCTGGTACCGCTTGCCGTGCGGTAGCAGAGAGAACAGTCTATGACTAGGGTGGCTGGAGTCTTTGACAATTTTGAGGGCCTTCCTCTGACACCGCCTGGTATTGAGGTCCTGGATGGCAGGAAGCTTGGCCCCAGTGATGTACTGGGCCGTACGCACTACCCTCTGTAGTGCCTTGCGGTCGGAGGCCAAGCAGTTGCCATACCAGGCAGTGATGCAACCAGTCAGGATGCTCTCGATGGTGCAGCTGTAGAATTTTTTGAGGATCTGAGGACCCATGCCAAATCTTTTCAGTCTCCTGAGGGGGAATAGGCTTTGTCGTGCCCTCTTCACGACTGTCTTGGTGTGTTTGGACCATGATAGTTCGTTGGTGATGTGGACACCAAGGAACTTGAAGCTCTCAACCTGTTCCACAACAGCCCCGTCGATGAGAATGGGGGCGTGCTCAGTCCTCTTTTTTTTTCCTGTAGTCCACAATCATCTCCTTTGTCTTGGTCACGTTGAGGGAGAGGTTGTTGTCCTGGCACCACACGGCCAGGTCTCTGACCTCCTCCCTATAGGCTGTCTCATCGTTGTCTGTGATCAGGCCTACCACTGTTGTGTCGTCGGCAAACTTAATAATGGTGTTGGAGTCGTGCCTGGCCATGCAGTCATGGGTGAACAGAGAGTACAGGATGGGACTGAGCACGCAACCCCTGAGGGGCCCCCGTGTTGAGGATCAGTGTGGCAGATGTGTTGTTACCTACCCTTACCACCTGGGGGCGGCCCGTCAGGAAGTCCAGGATCCAGTTGCAGAGGGAGGTGTTTAGTCCCAGGATCCTTAGCTTAGTGATGAGCTTAGAGGGCACTATGGTGTTGAATGCTGAGCTTTAGTCAATGAATAGCATTCTCACGTAGGTGTTCCTCTTGTCCAGGTGGGAAAGGGCAGTGTGGAGTGCAATAGAGATTGCATCATCTGTGGATCTGTTGGGGCGGTATGCAAATTGGAGTGGGTCTAGGGTTTCTGGGATAATGCTGTTGATGTGAGCCATGACCAGCCTTTCAAAGCACTTCATGGCTACAGACGTCAGTGCTACGGGTCGGTAGTCATTTAGGCAGGTTATCTTAGAGTCCTTGGGCACGGGGACTATGGTGGTCTGCTTGAAACATGTTGGTATTACAGACTCAGTCAGGGACATGTTGAAAATGTCAGTGAAGACACTTGCAAGTTGGTCAGCACATGCTCGGAGATGTGAATGTTGACCTGCTTAAAAGTCTTACTCACATCGGCTACGGAGAGTGTGATCACATAGTCATCCGGAACAGCTGGTGCTCTCATGCATGCTTCAGTGTTGCTTGCCTCGAAGCGAGCATAGAAGTGGTTTAGCTCGTCTGGTAGGCTTGTGTCACTGGGCAGCTCGCGGCTGTGCTTCCCTTTGTAGTCTGTAATAGTTTTCAAGCCCTGCCACATCCGACGAGCGTCAGAGCCAGTGTAGTACGACTCAATCTTAGTCCTGATCAACGCGTAAGACAGCGTGTTCCAGTTCCCGCCAATATCCAGCAACTTCGCACAGCTATTGAAGACGAGTGGGAAACCATTTCACAGGCCGCAACCAACAGCCTGATCAACTCTATGCAAAAGAGATGTGTCGCGCGGCATGAGGCAAATGGTTTTCACACCAGATCCTGACTGGTTTTCTGGCGACATGGGGAAGTGCATGATCATGCTGAAACGAGGTGATGGCGGCAGATGAATGGCACAACAATGGGCCTCAGGATGTCATTGCGGTATCTCTGCATAAATGCATTAAATGCAATTGTGTTTTTGTTGTCCGTAGCTTATGCCTGCCCATACCATAACCCCACCACCACGGGGCACTCTGTTCACAACGTTATCAGCAAACCGCTAGCCCAAACAACGCCATACAGGTGGTCTGCGGTTGTGATGCCAGTTGGATGTACTGACAAATTCTCAAAAAAGATGTTGGATGCGGCTTATGGTAGAGAAATTAACATTAAATTATCTGGCAACAGCTCTGGTGGACATTCCTGCAGTCATTATGCCAACTGTCTGTGGAATTGTGTTGTGTGAAGAAACTGCACATTTGAGTGGCCTTTTATTGTCCCCAGTACAAGGTGCACCTGTGTAATGATCATGCTGTTTAATCAGCTACTTAATATGCCACACTTGTCAGGTGGATGGATTATCTTGTCAAGGGAGAAATGCTCACTAACAGGTATATAAAATAATGTGCACAACATTTGAGAGAAATAAGCTTTTTGTGCGTTATGGGAAATTTCAGGGATATTTTATTTCAGCTCATGAAACATGGGACTAACACTTAACATGTTGCGTTTATATTTTTACTAAGTGTAGTAACGCATGTTAAGACAAACCGTATTGATTACACCTGTTTGACAGTTTTCCTAGACGTCTCTGAAACGTTACCAAGATTTCAGTTGGTATCATATAGCACAGTGAAGAAGTACCATTCAGACCTTTTAATAGATAGATTTGGCGTGTGTGTGAGCTTCCGATTGACTGTCTGTCAAGAGCATTGGCTAGTCCAAATGGGCCGTGTGTGTTAGTTTATCCAACTACCAATATCACTTATCCAAGTGATATTAATTAGGGCCAATAATTATTACACCTTTAGTTCTAGAATACTCACCGTCCGTAAATGCTTCCTGAGTATGTACAGAATAAACCCCCATATTCTAGATGTCACTCCGACGAAAGTGCGAATGCCAAGTAAGCTGTGACTGGTTTTCAGCATGGTACAGTCTCTTCCCTCCCGAACCTGCAGGTCGAGTAGACACTGGCCAATGGCAATCGTGTGCTCAGTTCAAATCCCACTTTCGCCACACTCCACTGAAAATGAATAACAAATATATAATTTAAAAAGTAGCCTACCAAGCAAAACCGTCATTAAAAACGAAAGCGAGGAATCCAGCGTTCTAGGTCACTAGCTAGCCCTGGCACGTTATACTTTGATTAAAGTGTAAAAATACGTCTTTATGAAATGCAAACAATGCACTTCTAACCTTGCTTAGTTTCGTTGACGAAATATGCAAAAGTCCCAACTAGACGCCGTCAACACAGCTTTCAAGCAAAACAGGAACAGGACAGCGCGCCGCCATAAGTGTCTCGCAGTCACTTCCGTAGAGGAAAACATGCGCTCTTTTCAAATAGTTCCCTTCCACGAAATAGTCACATCCAAGAAACAGGCATTGACCTCAATAAGGTCAAGACCAGCATTGACCAACAGGCAGGTCATTAGAAATACACTACTGCATTGTAATATACTGTAATCTATTTATGAAGCGCAATCAATGATGTATACATTACCTTGGTGGACAAAATAATGCCAGACAGTACTATCTTGTTACACCCAGTCCAGACAACTGCTAGGCTGCAGTGCTGTTTTAAAACGGCTCCAGTCCAGTCAAACATCTGCTGAGTTAGTTGGGACCATACAATTAGGAATTAGAATACTAGAATGTCCTGAACCGTCTTAAGATGATCCAAATGTCAGCCATGTTGGTCAGGGAGTTGGTCTTACCTGTGATTAAATGTTTTCCACACACATAGCTATGTATCTCCTCCGGGTCCCAACATTTCCTACGCCGAATAGCCTGAAGCCACATGGCTCCATTTCCCTATTTGGAAGCACTGTGAACCGTAGGTCGGGGTTTTGGACCTGTTTACATGTACATTGAACAACACAGCACATTTTAGGCATGTTTTGTTTTTGCTGTATAACAAAAAAATCGACAACAAACTTGTCTCTTTTACAATGGGGGTGAAGGAGAAATACTTTTTGTTTCCCCCAATTTGGGGGCGTGGTCGAGGGAAATTCCTTATTATTTAAGTGATAATGCAAGAGAAGCCAGTGTTTGTTGGATATATTGGCACGGGTGTTGCTCGTCGAGGGCCGACAAACCGTGCCAATATATCCAACAAACACCGGCTTCGAGGGCATTATCACTTTTATACAACGGGTTACCAACATATTCAAATAATGATTGACATATTTTCATTAAAAACTTTATTTTGATAAATGTATTCGTACTATTTCATCCTTCCACAAGATATAGTCCCGACACAAATCTAGGGTTGCTAGAGACACGACCCAGTCGTTCGATCTTTTTGTTCTGTATCTATGGACGCGACCCAGTCGTTCGTTCTAAATGTTCCATTGCCATACTGGCTGGCAACGTTCTTATCCCTTGCTTGCTAGCTAGCCAACTACGGCTAATTTACAGTTATGTCAAACAGTTCAGACAGAATAACAGACAGAATAACAGACAGCGAAGTAGCTGCATTTGCATTTGTTTAAGCTGTTTTCTAGTGACATTTATTTGGATACATCCATAACAATCAGCTTATGATGCGCGACTTTGCCTGGCAGAGAAAATGTGCTCTCTTGTCAGGATACTGTTGAGACAAAAGAAAGACAATCCATGACATTCATTTGAGCTGATTTTAATAAATGAAACCATACATTCTCTTTGTTATCCACCACAGCTATAGCTACTTATTGTATGTCACATTTATCTGTACATTCCCCTGGATGATGCATTGGTTGAAATATCTGTCGGAGTCTGTGCTACTACTTCTGCAGCCTTGCTTCAGCCTTTTGGGTGTCGATGGTGCTGCTGTGTTCTCTTTGTTTTTGACCAGGATGTTGCTCCAGCGTTTTCTGTCTGTCAGTGAGGGAAGCCAGTAGCTATGGAGCGAACCTTTGCACCAATGCCCACTCACTGATATAATCTCCCTCGCTTCTAAACCAGCATTGGCCTTTTTTCTGGACGTCGTGGTCCTGATGCTGTGATTTGGTGTATGTACATCGTGGTCATCTTTTTGAGAATGACCTGTCACCCCCTGGCTCTGGGGACTCTATTTATGTTGAGCCAGGGTGTGAAGTTTTTCATGTGTGTTGGTTCTAGTTGTTGTTATATCTATGTTGGCCAGGGTGGCCCCCCATCAGAGACGGCTGTAGCTCGTTGTCTCTGTTTGGGGAGTCATACTTGGGTAGCCGTTAGGCATTCATTCATTGTGGTTTCTTTTCCGTGTTGGTTTGGTGTATGTAACCAGGGACGTCACGTTTTCGTTTTGTTCGTGTGATCATTATCTAAATAAATATGTTCGCATTCAACGCTGCGCCTTGGTCCTCCTCTCTTACGCGAATCGTGACAAAAAGAAACCACCAAGACTGGACCAAGCAGCGTGTCCAGGAGCCATCGCCAGGGAGATCTTTTCAGATCTCCTTCGCCTCCTCGACTGGGTCAAGCCGGGTGAGGAAGAGAAGGGCTTGACATGGAAGCAGAAGGGCGAAAGGCTGGCGAGGGACATGGAGACCTGGTCCACGGGTAGGAGAGACGCCCAGACATTTTTTAGGGGGGGGCTAACGCCGTGGACGACGGGCCAGCAGGAGACCGCGGCAGAGCGGCCCAGCGGGTTGGCAGAGGAGGCCGCCAGGTTACGGGGGCCACTGGTCGAAGAGGGGATGGAAGGTGTAGAGGCACGGCGAGAGGTACTGGGGTGTGTTACCAGTCCGGTCCGGCCCATTCCAGATCCCTGCGTAGGACCAGTGGTGTGTGTCCCCAGTACGGTCCGGCCTGTTCCTGCTCCCCGCACCAGGCCAATGGTGCGCGTCGTCAGCCCGGCTCGGCCCGTTCCTGCTCCCCGCACCAAGTCAGTGGTGCGCTTCGTCAGCCCGGCTCGGCCCGTTCCTGCTCCCCGCACCAAGTCAGTGGTGCACTTCGTCAGCCCGGCTCGGCCCGTTCCTGCTCCCCGCACCAAGTCAGTGGTGCGCTTCGTCAGCCCGGCTCGGCCCGTTCCTGCTCCCCGCACCAAGTCAGTGGTGCGCTTCGTCAGCCCGGCTCGGCCCGTTCCTGCTCCCCGCACCAAGTCAGTGGTGCGCTTCGTCAGCCCGGCTCGGCCCGTTCCTGCTCCCCGCACCAAGTCAGTGGTGCGTTTCGTCAGCCCGGTTCGGCCCGCTCCTGCTCCCCGCACCAAGTCAGTGGTGCGCTTCGTCAGCCCGGCTCGGCCCGTTCCTGCTCCCCGCACCAAGTCAGTGGTGCGCTTCGTCAGCCCGGCTCGGCCCGTTCCTGCTCCCCGCACCAAGTCAGGGGTGCGTTTCGTCAGCCCGGCTCGGGCCGTTCCTGCTCCCCACACCAAGCCAGTGGTGTGCGTCGTCAGTCCGGCACAGCCCGTGCCTGTTCCACTGGTGCCTGGTTCAGCACGGGTCAGCTGCTTCACGCCGGAGCTAGAGCAATCCGCTCCACCAGTGTGCAGTCCAGCTCCGGTCAGCAGGGCCAGACCGGACCAGGGGTACTTTGGGGGGTTAGAGAGCGAGTGGGGATCATGCCCGGAGCCGGATCCGCCGCCAAGGCGGAGTGCCCACCCGGTCCCTCCCCTGTGGTATTTGGTTGGCGCGGTCGGAGTCCGCGCCTTTAGGGGGGGGGTACTGTCACGCCCTGGCTCTGGGGACTCTAGTATGTTGAGCCAGGGTGTGAGTTTTCATGTGTGTTGGTTCTAGTTGTTGTATATCTATGTTGGCCAGGGTGGCTCCCAATCAGAGACGGCTGTAGCTCGTTGTCTCTGATTGGGAGTCATACTTAGGTAGCCGTTAGGCATTCATTCATTGTGGTTTCTTGTTCCGTGTTGGTTTGTGTATGTAACCAGGGACGTCACGTTTTCGTTTTTGTTCGTGTGATCATTATCTAAATAAATATGTTCGCATTCAACGCTGCGCCTTGGTCCTCCTCTCTTAACGACGATCGTGACAATGACACAGGTATTGGTCTTCACAAAGTTCGCTGCTTCAGTGTTATGAGATATTTTTGTCAGATGTTACTATGGTATACTGAAGTATAATTTCAAGCATTCCATAAGTGTCAAAGGCTTTTATTGACAATTACATTAAGTTTATGCAAAGAGTCAATATTTGCAGTGTTGACCCTTCTTTTTCAAGACCTCTGCAATCCGCCCTGGCATACTGTCAATTAACTTCTGGGCCACATCCTGACTGATTATGCAGCCCATTCTTGCATAATCAATGCTTGGAGTTTGTCAGAATTTGTGGGTTTTTGTTTGTCCATCCGCCTCTTGAGGATCGTCCACAAGTTCTCAATGGGATTAAGGTCTGGGGAGTTTCCTGGCAATGGACCCAAAATTTCGATGTTTTGTTCCCCGAGCCACTTAGTTATCACTTTTGCCTTATGGCAAGGTGCTCCATCATGCTGGAAAAAGGCATTGGTCGTCACCAAACTGTTCTTGGATGGTTGGGAGAAAGTTGCTCTCGGAGGATGTGTTGGTACCATTCTTTATTCATGGCTGTGTTCTTAGGCAAAATTGTGAGTGAGCCCACTCCCTTGGCTGAGAAGCAACCCCACACATGAATGGTCTCAGGATGCTTTACTGTTGGCGTGACACAGGACTGATGGTAGCCCTCACCTTGTCTTCTCCGGACAAAGTGTATTCCGGATGCCCCAAACAATCGGAAAGGGGATTCAGCAGAGAAAATGACTTTACCCCAGTCCTCAGCAGTCCAATCCCTGTACCTTTTGCAGAATATCAGTCTGTCCCTGATGTTTTTCCTGGAGAGAAGTGGCTTCTTTGCTGCCCTTCTTGACACCAGGCCATCCTCCAAAAGTATTCGCTTAACTGTGCGTGCAGATGCACTCACACCTGCCTGCTGCCATTCCTGAGCAAGCTCTGCACTGGTGGTGCCCCGATCCCGCAGCTGAATCAACTTTAGGAGACGGTCCCGGCGCTTGCTGGACTTTCTTGGGAACCCTGACGCCTTCTTCTCAACAATTGAACCTCTCTCCTTGAAGTTCTTGATGATCCCATAAATGGTTGATTTAGGTGCAATCTTACTAGCAGCAATATCCTTGCCTATGAAGCCCTTTTTGTGCAAAGCAATGATGACGGCACGTGTTTCCTTGCAGGTAACCATGATTAACAGAGGAAGAACAATGATTTCAAGCCTTTTAAAGCTTCCAGTCTGTTATTCTAACTCAATCAGCATGACAGCATGATCTCCAGCCTTGTCCTCGTCAATACTCTCACCTGTGTTAACGAGAGAATCACTGACATGATGTCAGCTGGTCCTTTTGTGGCAGGGCTGAAATGCAGTGGAAATGTTTTTTGGGGGGATTAAGTTCATTTTCATGGCAAAGAGGGACTTTGCAATTAATTGCAATTTCATTCTGGAGTATATGCAAATTGCCATCATCAAAACTGAGGCAGCAGACTTTGTGAAAATTAGTATTTGTGTCATTCTCAAAACTTTTGACCACGACTGTAGTTGTTCCCGCTGCCCTGCAGATCTTGGGTAGAAGTGCTGCCAGATAATTCACGCCCATCGGCTCTAACGTGTACCAGGTCGAGTCCCCGATACACTCTCCTCTCCTTGGGTGGAGATTAAATGCAAGGTCGTTCTCCGGGCATTTCGATAGATATTTATCTCCAGTGATGCCACCGGGCATAGTGGGTGCCCTGGCTGCTCGAACATTAATCCCTTCTTGGACCCTGCCTCTCTCCCTTGGGTCCAGATTATTCTTTGTGGCCTCGTTATATGCAAGAGTGGCGTATCTGAGAGAGAGAATGCGTTGCTATAATATTGTTTTCCAGAAGCCTAATTATGAGTGCAACTTAGAAATAACACAAACAGGCTATGAACAACATACCTTAGACCGCTCTCGTCTGTTTTTACGACGAATGAGTTGGGCTTTAGTTGTCTGTTCCCCTCTTTTCCTCTTCGACCCAGATGTAACTGGAGGTGGAACCACACTTTCTGGACCAGACCCGTTGGTGTACCGGGATTCAGAGCCTGGGAGTTTTGGAACTGGGCCATGTCCTTATCGGTGATGGGAGGGTGGCTGTTTGTGATATATTTTCCTTGCCTTAGCTGTTTGATGTTGACCAGAAATACATGATTCGAGGTGGTAAATTCAGTGTCCTTCATAAGGCACCAGCTGCGACCGATGGGTGGGTCATTTAGAAATCGGTTGAGCCCACTCTGGACTGCCAGGTAGCTACATATGATGTACTGCTCCCCCTTCCCATTTCGTACATTTCCATAAAACTGTCGGAGAAGGATGTTAAACTCTTCCTTAGTGACAGTTTTGAAGTCAACAACTTTTTTATTCTGCTAGCCAGCCCTCGAAGCAGCCCAGTTTGTATTTTTAACTGTGTTTCTTTCGTTGCGGCTTTTCTCTAGGTCATTCAATGCAGTATCCCCCAAATCGGGCATGCCTGGTTATTATTGCCATCTCTTTTTCCCATTCATCCATAGTCATGCCGCCGAAAAGATCATAAATAAATGTTCCACTCATCCAGTTTAGTTTTTGCAACAAAGTATAGATTTAGCCAGTCAACTGAAGAAAAAAAACATTTTGTATGTTGCTATGACAACCAGCTCATTTTGCTGTCTGTATCATTCGGACACATTCACTTTTAATGGTACGGTGGAGATTGCAATTCAATATTCAAACATAGGTCGGAGAGACAGACAGCAAGGTTTACAAATCTCTTCTGTTGAAAACCAAATGCTAGTCTAAAAGAAATGGGAGATAATGTCTAGATGCTTTTTATAGTGGAGTTCAAGTTTAAGCATTTCCTAGCTGGGCTGATGAGACAGTGGATTGCGCCGTCAGATGGAACAGAGTAAATAGGCATTTTAACGTCATAGATTTAGCCGGTGGTAACTTGTGGAATAGACACCAGCTGGAATGCAGTTTTAACCAATCAGCATTCAGGATTAGACCCACCCGTTGTATAATACCTGAATGTCTACTGGTTTACAAATTGTAAATGTAACAAGTACTCATATGTTATTATATAATAGCACTCACAGCTTTCCAAGAAAACACAATCTGAGACATTTATGGTCTGTTTAAATATATTTGAGAGGCTATTTATACAGAACATTTATATAAAGCCCGTATAAACATGCAACAATTTCAACAATTTTACTGAGTTACAGTTGATATAAGGAAACCAGTCCATTTAAATAAATTCATCAGGCCCTAATCTATGGATTTCACATGACTAGGCAGGGGCGCAGCCGTGGGTGGGCTTGGGAGGGCATAGGCCGGATGTGGAGGTCCTGGGCTGGCGTGGTTACACGTAGTCTGCGATTGTGAGGCAGGTTGGACATACTGCCAAATTCTCTAAAATAACGTGGTAGAGAAATTAACATTACATTCTCTGGCAACAGCTCTGGTGGACATTCATGCAGTCAGCATGCCAATTGCACTTGAGACATCTGTGGCATTGTGTTGTTGGACAAAACTGCACATTTTAGTGGCATTTTTTTGCTGCCAGCACAAGGTGCACCTGTGTAATGATCATGCTGTTTAATCAGCTTCTTGATATGTCACACCTGTCAGGTGGATGCAGTGACGACCAGTCATTCAGGACAGGTGGGGCAGACCATATTTGTATGCGGCTTTATTAACTCAATTGTTTATTTTTTTACATTGTTTGCAAAACGGATATGTGACACGTATTCATAACAAAATAACATGCAAAACAGGCAACAACAATTTTTTGGGGAAAATAAAAATAATAAAAACATATATAGTGAGGGAAAAAAGTATTTGATCCCCTGCTGATTTTGTACGTTTGCCCACTGACAAAGACATGATCAGTCTATAATTTTAATGGTAGGTTTTTTTGAACAGTGAGAGACAGAATAACAACAAAAAAATCCAGAAAAACGCATGTCAAAAATGTTATAAAATGATTTGCATTTTAATGAGGGAAATAAGTATTTGACCCCTCTGCAAAACATGCCTTAGTACTTGGTGGCAAAACCCTTGTTGACAATCACAGAGGTCAGACGTTTCTTGTAGTTGGCCACCAGGTTTGCACACATCTCAGGAGGGATTTTGTCCCCTCCTCTTTGCGACTGAAAGTATAAAATAATGTATTTTCCAGATGTCGAAGAGACATCTTATACGGACGTTGAAAATACATCTTATATAGACTTTGAAAATACGTATTTTATGGACGTTGATTTTATGGACAAATTTCAACTTCACATTCATTCTCAATAAAGTAAGCATTATACCACAATAATATAGGAAAGAGGAGCCAACTGAAGATTGCAACAGAATATTTATTATTGCTCCCAACTGTCACATGCACTTATGTTAGCTTTTTTTTAACTTTAAAACTGGCAGCGATGATATTCAAAGTAGTCCAACCTACAAAATAAACCAACAGAACATTTGAACTACAATAACTTCATCTTTGGTATCATGGCGTTCGCACATTTTCTTTGTGCTTGCCGTCACCTAATATGTGGGAGTGTGTAGTCGATCACGTTACATTTTAAGATACAAAAATAAAAAGGAAGGGGGAAAGGAAAAGATTGCACCGCCAAATAACCCTACACCGATAGATCACTATTTCATAAAAAAATACACTAATAAATCCATTTAAAAAACACCACCCCATTCCAGTTTTTGACCCTTACTGATCCTACACTAGGCCAACGGCCTGGGAGGACGGGAATCTTTCGTTCAACACACCTTGTAACTCTTCTGCAGTAAAACCTTGTACACCTAAGTACTTCTCTGCAGCTGCCACCGCAACATATATTTTCTGTTCTTTCATTCCAATTTCTGCGGTACAGTTGATAACCATGGCAATGAATGTTAAGAAGCCAACCTTACTGAAACACAAATTTGTATCACTCTGTATTGGCCTAGGCCTACTACTCACCCTTGACCCATCATCCTCTACTCTCTTCACTGCCTGAACCTGGCAACCTGTCACTCTCGCACCGGGCACTTCTGATCCCCAGCAACATCGGCACCCCCACAATTGACAGCCAACTGATATTTACTCCTGAGGTGCTGACCTGTTGCTCCCTCTATAAACACTGTGATTATTGTTTGACCCTGCTGGTCATCTATGAACATTTGAACATCTTGAAGAACGATCTGGCCTTAATGGACATGTACTCTTATAATCTCCACCGGGCACAGCCAGAAGAGGACTGGCCACCCCTCAGAGCCTGGTTCTTCTATAGGTTTCTTCCTAGGTTCCCTGCCTTTCTATGGAGTTTTTCCTAGCCACCGTGCTTCTACATCTGCATTGCTTGCTCTTTGGGGTTTTAGGCTGGGTTTCTGTATAAGCACTTTGTGACATCTGCTGATGTAATAAGGGCTTTATAAATACATTCGATTGACAGTTTTTACACCGATACTACACATTCCTTTGTCCCATGCACTCCTGCACACTTCTCACATCTCGGAACCTCCTTCCTACACACTGCTGCAACATGACCATAAGCTTGGCATCTGAAACGCCTTAGTGGGTTTGGCACAAAAGCTCTCACGGGATAACTGACATGTCCTAACATGACTTTGTCAGGTAAAGACTCTACTTCAAAACTCAAAAGGACAGACAGTGTCTTCTCAGTTTGACCACGCTCGCCACCGGGTCTGCGTAGCACCAAACAGCGGGCATCACAGACACAGGGAATCTTCAATTTCAGTTTGCTCCACCTCAACACTTAACGCCACTCCAGTAACCACTCCTTTCAAAGGTGCCCTGCTCCAGAGACCAAAGCAAGTCACAGGTCTCGTCCCAAGGCGCGTGTAGAGTAGAGCTCCCACTCCCTCTGGGCGGAAGAAACACAGAAAATCCTCACAAGTCCACTTCGAGCTACCTTCACCGATTTAACAGTACCCAAATAATGTTTTACCCAGCCTGAGACTACATATGGGTCAGTCAAAAGGCAGGGATCCACTCGAAGGACTTCACCACACCTGCCCCGCAGGTAATTCATCCTCACACTCATCAGGTTCCATTTCTGAGCCATCAGAGACAGCAGAGTACAGTTTGTACTTGGCGCCATTCTTCCTCAACAAACATCTTTCCGATGCACTCAGCTCTTCTACTTTTTTCCTCGCTGTCCATATCCAGGTATATCCACCACGCTCATGCCACGCTTTCATCCACTATATTGTTTACAGAACACGCACTGATGGCCTTTCTCCAATACCCAACTTCTGTTCCTTAGCCCAAGTTACTAGTCTGGCTATCTCTGGCCTCTCCATGCAAAGCAAAACGCGAGCTACTCTCCGGTTACTACATTATTGGACTGACTGGACTACCTGCCACGCACACTACCATAGAGAAGTCAACCGTGTCTGGAAGTGACTTCACCATACATTTTCTGGATTCAGGTTAACTCAAACATTGTTTTAAACGTTGTTTTATTATTTACAGTTACAGCTGATTTCGGGATTGTATATCATTTCGCTGTCCTTAAATATTTGTCATCTGATGAATTCATTTCAGTCTCTGAATTGTTTAGTCAAACTTTTCTCCACCAGCTCCTGATATCAGGGCATAAAAACTACAATCTGTGTCCTGAATTAGCCTAGTGCGCATGTGCGCCCAGCTATATCCTGTCCCAAGTTTTCGCTGGTTTTCCCTGGCTGAACTAGCTGGCTAGCTGAACTATGCTAGTTTTCATCCTCATTGCCAAACCAACGATTTTTATAACTAACCCAAGATAGACCACAGCCTTTTGCTTCCAATGGGAGCAAATTAATCATAGTGGGCAGAACAA